TAATATAAAATTAAAGAAAAATGATGGAGGATATATAAACTGTTATCAAATATTTATTATTAGAATCATTAAGTGTCATATATATATATTAGTCATTTATGGTAATTCCGTAGGTTTTATTTATGGAAATAAAATAAAATAGTAATTATATCTTAGGAAACAATAATTAAGTGTCATATATATATATTAGTCATTTATGGTAATTCCGTAGGTTTTATTTATGGAAAGAAAATAGCATATCATATCATTATATCATATAGTTTGACTAACTAATGTAATCCAATGTGGACTTACTTATTTTTCAATTGAATCTAATTGACTACCTAATTGAGTGACACCTATGCATTGGGGCCTCTTTTAATTAATACAAAATTGAGGTTACATCTTTTCAAATGTTCCTCAATTAATATATAGGGGATTTAGTGACTAAAATTGTTCTTGTGTTTTTCATAAATGGTAATGTTCCTTTCTTTTTGATTAAATATGATCAAATTGTCTTTGTAAATTCATCCCCATTTTCTTATATAGTATATGGGAGAAAATAAATTTAGGAGTTTATTGGACTGAATTTTTGGATTTATCTTCAAATGTAATCGTCACCAATGTTATTAATTGATTTTTTTGTATACAAAACAGTGATTTTTTAGAAAATAATTTTTTTACTACAAAACTTAATGAAAATTTAATTAGATTTCAGTGGTTTTAATTTAAAATATAAGGTTAATAAATATTAGTATCTAACTTTACATATATGTTAAAATTTTAGATTCTGTGTTTGTTTTGATTCAAAGTTTATATTTGTTTTACCGTTTTTCTTTACAAAGTTGAAATTATACTCCGAAAATGGTATGCAGATGTGTAATCATTTCCTCACTTTCAAACCAGCCAAAATCATATATCTTTGGTCCAAACTCCACTATTCATTTAAAACTATTCTAAAGTCACCTTGCTGATCCTTCAATAGTTAAACTTGTAAACGTGATCGGTCTACATATTGTATAAAAAAGTATTATACAAGATCTCAATGTCTATAATTAATTTAGAACAAGTTGAATCAGCATCAAAGAAAAAAACAAAAGAGGATTATAGCTTTCAGGGTTCGAATCTAATATCCAACCTAAGAGGCTAATTAAGACCATAGCCTTCCATAAGAAATATTAATGTCTTTGTTTACTCATGAAACATTGTCTTTGGTTATTCATGACAACGTGCACATCAATTAACCTAAACCACAGATGAAGAAAAAAAAATAGAATATAAGTAAACAAACCTTTCTTCCTTTTTTATTTTAAAGTTTTCTTAATTTATCTGAACACAAACCCATCAGAGATTGTAAAGACAAGAGTACTGAATAGAAGTATTCTACATTCTCTTGCATCGTTACATTTCATCAGCCAAAAGAAAAAAAAAACGAAATTAAAAGAGAGAGAAGAAACCTTTGCTTCTTTCCCTGATGAAAAGGTTTCAAGATCAAGAGGTAACTAACTAAGTAGAGCAGCAACCTCTTTTGGCGACTCCAGATGTGTCATCAACGTTAATCGTTGTTCCTTGCCCTGGAATCGCAGAATTAGCACCCGCTGCTTCTTGAGCAGCCAAAGCTTTCTTGCTAATGATCTTGTAAATCTCTGACAACACGGTTTGAAATGCTTTGTCCACATTCGTGGCTTCAAGAGCAGACGTCTCCAAGAAAGAGAGACCTTCCGTCTCAGCTAGACTCCTACCATCTTCCTCAGCGACCGACCTCAAGTGGTTTAGGTCGGATTTGTTGCCAGCCATCATGATGACAATGTTTGAATCCGCATGGTCTCTTAGTTCGCGTAGCCACCTTAGGACATTGTCAAAGGTCTGACGTTTGGTGATGTCATAGACAAGAAATGCACCTACTGCGCCTCTGTAATAAGCGCTTGTGATGGCTCTGTAACGCTCTTGACCTGCTGTGTCCCATATTTGGGCCTTTACTGTCTTTCCTTCAACCTGCATGATCATAAGACAATCACAAAAAACGTACAAATAGTTAACAACCTGCGTCTTGTTTCAAGCTTTGTAGGAAACTGTTACATGCTTTTAACTATTAAAAAGCAAGAACCTGATATATGCATTTACTTAATCATCTTGATTAATCACAGAGCATCAACATTTGTAATACATCAGCCACCTAAATGTATATGTATCACATGACTCTTTCTTGAAATTATTATTTTGAGGAGTTGACTTTTTGAGGGATAAAAGTTTGACTTTGATGATCAGTAAGAAAAACATTATTGGGGACAAGTTGTGGGCTCTCTCCACCATTCTTTCATAGAAAAATAAAACAAAACAAAAGCATTGCTCATGACTCATGGCCAGCACATCTAAGATTCTTTCTCTGTTTGATATAAAACCTCTCAGATAACAAATTATAAAACATTAAACTATTCAAATCTTAAGAGACCACATGAGCTTTTTTACTGGTTATATGTTACCCAAACATATTTGTAACTTCAAAATAACAAAAATAAAACGCAAATAGAGTAAAGCTAGAACACAAGCGCATCAGATGAATTAACATGTTCAACATAAGAAAACACATAGTAATCACGTAGAAAAAATGTAACTGAATCACCTGAAGAGTTTTTGTAGCGAATTCAACACCAATGGTGGACTTGGATTCCAAGCAAAACTCATTCCTGGTGAACCTAGACAAGATGTTTGATTTCCCGACACCAGAATCACCGATCAACACGATCTTGAACAGATAATCGTAATCCTGTTCTACTCTATGCGTCATTATTCCTCTTCTATCTCACAAAAACAAACAAACCTACACATAAACAAACATCCCTGAATATCAACAAACGATCGATATAATCGTAGAAAGACTTTGGATTCATCAAAATTAACCCTAGCCAGAGCAAATCAGATACGAAACGAACATACCCTTTCTGATATTCCACGGAAAAAAAACACAGCGGAATAATCGTGAAAAGCGAGTTTAACCCTCTTCAGATCTGCTTAAGGATGAATCTTAGTGTTTAATGATCTTTGGAATACGTATTATAAATGTTTTTTTCCTTCCTTACAAGTGTATTTCGTATATTATATAGTTAGTTGATGCGATAAAACAAACAACGATGTATGTATTAAAGCAAATGACAAGAGGGCTGAGGTGGGCCAGGCGGCAGCTTAACAGAGTCAGAGCCATCAGGCTGACAAAAGTAAGAGGATGTTTCAGGGGTATTATAGGAATTATGACTTCATGTTAGACAGTTAACAGCCAATTAGTTAGCAACACGTATGAGAATAGAGTATCTTTCTGTAATCTAATGATTTTCTATGGTTTACATTCTGTCTTGTGTTGGTGATGCTCTGTTGATTGATCATTCGTAGTTCAAAAAAATGATTACATCAATTTTTATTATCTCATAATCAACTATACCGCGCAACCAAGATTAAGGATATTAAAAATATGTATAATGCTGGACTGATCAAAGCAATCATATAATGAAATAGTTTCAAAGTGCTTTGAATGGTTTGGCTAGAAAATGGAACAAAGAACATGGTGTTTCAATGATTTACTATATGGTTATTCATTACTATATAATGATAGTGGATAATGTCTTAGAGACTACAATTCTTGATTTATTTAACACTAAACAATCAATCTTAACAAAACTGGCCATGAATACAAGCTAGTCGAAAGGCTTTTCAAAGTGATACTGATTAGTAATTATCATAAACAAGAAGTAGACATAACACTCAGTGTGTTTCAAAAAAGTGTTTCAAAAGAAAAAAGACATAACACTCAGTGGCGAATCTAGAACTAGAATTGATAAGGGGCAAAACTATGTAACATTTTCTACACCTTTATAAGTTATGAATTTTTAACATCACTAAAGTTACAAATTCATGGTGGGCTGCTGCCCCTCACACACTATATGCAGATTCGCCCCTGATATCTCCTAAAGACAAAAGGCTTTCAAGAGATTTTTCATTTGTGAGCTAGCCATCTTAATTGACACTTATGTTAAAAATAACAAATTTTTTTTTTTTTTGAGATATTCTATGAGAACTTTGCATTCAAGTTTTTTTTTTTTTTTTGATTATACACAGTTTCCTAGACCTAATGGACTAATTTGTGTCGCTGCACCCCGAATGTGAAATTGCAGTGGCCAGAGCGAGTCGAACCAGGTGACCGTTTCTGCAGCTGCAGACCGTTTACCACCAGACTATCTCGTATGGTTCTTTGCATTCAAGTTGCTCTAACTTTAGTCTCCAGCTGTTGAATAGAAAATCTTTCTCTTTTTTCTTTCTTTGAGCATAGACTGATTTGTTATTACTTTTACAGCAAGCTGATTAGAGAAATACACTACTCGCCTAGAGACGTTAGGAATCTAGCGCAGAGCCTGCTTTGAATATTCCAGGCCTTCAAATATAGAATTATTGGTAGGTTTTTAAGAAAATATTGACCCTAAGCACATACTTGACTAAGGCCGGCTCTGCTCTAGTGGCCACGGTACACACGCAACGTCTATTGCTACTGGGAACGCAGTCCAGAACACCAGCTTCTTTGGGCTCCGCAAAGTCAATGGTGCCGTTCCAATGATGTGTTGGGTTTTGGTACTTTTTAAATTTGATTTTCAATCATTTTTTAGTCTTTCTTATATCTTTTGAAAATTTTCATGTTGAGACACGTTCGGATGAAGTTTGAGGCATAAAGAAATAATAATGTGGCAGTGTAGCACCTCTCTGCTTATTCAGCTAATGCTAAACCATCTGCTAGACATGAAGTACTCTAAACGTGGTTGAATTCTATCAATAGATGTCTAAACTTGGCTGAATTCTGTCAATAGATGTCTATTTTAAGATAAAAAGTATCTTAATTCCCAAATATTAAGAAATAGCTAGATGATAAGTATGCGATTTGTAGAGTATTAGTGACTAAGTGAATTATTCAGGGTCTAGGCGTTAATGATTTATTAATTTATGGAGTATTATATATGTTAACTTTATATAACATATTTTAGTTTTGGGTTTAATTATAAGATTTTATTTTGATGAATTATCAAAACTAAATATATAAAAACAAAAGAAATTAGACAAAATTGTAAATTTATACTAACACTTTTATTTAATTTAACAGATTTAGAATTAGTTAGACCTTTTAACAGTAATTTAAAACAATTAAATTAATCAAGAATGATTTAACCCGATAAATCAAATTTTAAGAAAATAGTTTTAGTTATGGCCAATCTGGTGCCGTATAATTCCTAACATAGCTAGATATAGAACCATAACAAGTGTGCATTGGAACAACAGGCCAGATATAAGATTTGACATTGAAAATTGAAGTCACTATAGGAAAAAACAAGTCAACTAAATTTACAAACAAATCTGCATAACTGGATGCACGCGACTCTAAACCTTTTTCTTGATTCTATACCAAAATTTTGTTTACGCATTCAAGATCCCTAAAATCAAGGCATTGATTGATCTCTCACGACACGTCTGTAACTTACCTATCTGTCAAGCACATGATTATTCTTCAACAGGTTGCACGCTACAAGAGATCCATTAGAAGACGTATTTATTAAGGTCGTTACAAATCGAATCGAAAATAAGTAAGAAGTGGCTTGGGATCTTGATGCAGCGCATAGGACGTCAACCTCGCAAACATATCAATTCCTTTAACGTGTTTGACAAGGCTTAAAGTTTCCTTTTCTTAGTTTTTCTTTGGTGTTTTCTTTTATTCATATTAGGATAATGTGATGTTTTGCTTTTAGGATTAGGATTTATCTCATTAGTATTTATAGAGAACTCTCAATCATTGTAAGACACGATTTATTGAATTCAGATTGAAGTTCACAAAGAGTATTCGAGCCCTTTTCTGCTGTAAAGATTTATAAACAATAAGAACTAATTAACAAAACAAATATAGAAAAAAATACTTATAGAGATCCAAGATAAACTAATATATTTATTTTGCTTATGGATGACTAATGATTTTTCATATAAAATGAAGAGCCATCAACAATTAAAACCGGTAAAAACCATCACCATCATCCGTAGTAGATCTATCAAAACGATTCAATTGAACCGAAGGTTTTTCTTTCCAAATCCATTGGAAGAAACATACAAAAGAATATTAAATATTTTTGTCAAATTCAAAATAAATTGACAATAACATAAACTAAATAACCGTAAACAAAACAAATCAAAGAAAGAGAAGCAAAATAAAGTAAAGAAACTTATGTCGGAGCTGTAGAAGAATCCGTTCTTCGGTTTGAAACTATATAAAAAGTTTCTCTCTTAACCGGCTTGAGTTTTTCACTCACTCAATAATATCTATAGACACGAGGTCTATAATTACCTAGTCTTTGATCTTTAGTAAATTAATTTCTGCTCTCCATCAGATATGGTAGTTTACGTCCCCCAATAATAAGTTAGTTAGCAAACTGACGCCATATTGGCTATTGCTAGGGTCTGTTTGTTAATGACGTTAACCCATTAAAAATTGACGTTAGAAATTAGATCCTCGGTTTTGTAGTGTACAAAAGATATATATAGGTCTTTATATTTCAATTGTTTGATAGTAGAGAATTGGTCTACCGCTATAGATGTAATTCGCAAGAAATTATTTTTCTTAATTATGTTGTTTAAATCTCTCTTAGCATGTTTGTGTTTGCATGTTTTTGTAAACTAATTTGATGCAATAACAATAAATGTAACTAATATGATTTTAAAGCCATATTGAGTTTTACAAGTTTGATGGAAGACCATATATGATTACAAAACCTTGAAGCACTGTTCTCCAAAAAAAAACCTTGAAGCATTAAGAAATATACTCATAATAAGCTAGAAATGAAAACGAAGTCTTCAGGTGTTTCAAAAAAAAAAAAAAAAAAACGAAGTCTTCAGAGTTATGGTTACCACATCCTTTCGAGACATGATTTCCTCTCTTTTAAACTGTTTTTCACTTTATTTCTTGAACCTTTTAGATCGGCTTAACTGACCTTCCACCTCTCTCGTCATGATGTGAGCCGTTTGGTTCACAATTATGAGGACTGTTGGTGGTGTTTATGTTAACATGTTATAATAGATTTAGTTATATATAATCTCATTTAGCATGCTATTCTATACATATATTTGAATTTTGTAGTGATACTAGTAGTTATATTTTCTATAGTAATGATAATTCTGTTCCATATAAACTAATGGTATTTACACAAACCATAGCAGAATAATTTTATTTCATATTCTTACCTCATGGTGTGGGGTAGTGTGGCAAATTTGTTTTTGAAGTGATGTAACGTGATATCAATGATTGATTTTTTTATCTTTGCCAATATGAAGAAAGAGGTCTTTATAAAATTTGTTAAATGGTCAAATCATTACGTTTGTTCCCAGTTTTGATTGCTGACCAAAGATTTTGTTTTAATAACTTTACTATAAATATATACATTTTCTTGTTGAAACTACACAGAAATATAAGTCTCACCTCGAACTTTAATTGTTTTTCGAGAAAAAATGGCGAAACTATTAGCTTTCTTTTGCCTCTTCTCCTACATCATTGTCTTGTTCTTGTATTCAGTCTCAGCAGTCATAGATGATAACCAAGACCAACAGGTACTATTATATTTCTTATCATCATGTCTTGCAACGTTGATGATGATGAATAAATGTTGTAATCCATGAAGGTGTATATCGTCTACATGGGTGCACTTCCATCTAGCGACTACACTCCAATGTCCGATCACATGAATATTCTTCAAGGAATCACCGGAGAGAGGTGTGAATTAGTTACACCATTCTCTAGCGATTATAGTTATAATTATATAAATAAAATGATAGTGTATGATCTAACAAATGATCTATTATCTCTAGTTCCAACGAAGGTCGTTTGGTGAGAAGTTACAAGAGGAGTTTCAACGGGTTCGCCGCCCGACTCACTCGTTCAGAACGAGAAAGAATAGCCAGTAAGTGTTTTTGATTTAATTTTTTTTTGTTGCAGTTGAAAGATCTATAATGATTTATCTTCTAAAGTTAATTAAATTGAAAACCATATATGTTCTTTAGATATGGAAGGAGTCGTGTCTGTATTTCCTAACAAAAATCTACAGCTCCAAACAACGACCTCTTGGGACTTCATGGGGCTAAAGGAAGGAAAGTCAATGAACAGGAACCTGGCCGTGGAGAGTAACACCATTGTTGGAGTCATCGACGGTGGGATCACTCCGGAATCTGAAAGCTTTTCCGACAAAGGCTTTGGTCCTCCTCCTCAAAAATGGAAAGGTGTTTGCTCCGGTGGCATAAACTTCACGTGCAACAAGTAAACTCTTACTTATTATATTATATGAACTAAATGATTGGTTGTTGACATGTAATGCACATAAACTATGGTAAATAATATATTTTATTATATTATTACAGCAAGCTGATTGGTGCAAGGGACTACACAAGCGAAGGATGTAGGGACACTGTTGGACATGGTACACATACATCGTCCACGATAGCTGGAAACGCTATCGAAAACGCAAGCTTTTATGGACTAGGCAATGGAACCATGAGAGGAGGCGTGCCGGCCTCAAGAATTGTCAGTTACAAAGTTTGCACTTGGTTAGGGTGTAGCTCCGATAGTATATTGTCTGCTTTTGATGATGCGATTGCAGATGGTGTAGATATTATCAGCATCTCCGCTAATTTAGAATACCCCTCACCATTTGAAGAGGATCCTGTCGCTATTGGGGCTTTTCACGCTATAGCCAAAGGGATTCTCACTGTGAATTCAGCAGGTAACAGCGGTCCGGAACCGCAAACGCTAGAGAGTGTAGCTCCATGGATCCTCACGGTTGCTGCCAGTAACACCAACCGTGCGTTTTTCACGAAAGTTGTTCTCGGTAACGGTAAAACACTTGTCGTGCGTATCAAGCAACCTGTTTTTTTTTTAATCTCTATAATCTTATAATTTTGTCTTTAAATCCTTGTCGTTATATGAAACAGGGAAAGTCAGTGAATACGTTTGATTTGAATGAAAAAATGTATCCTCTTGTGTACGGAAAATTTGCTGTTAATTCGTCTGCATGCAGCGTGGAATCGGCAGAGTAAGTTCCTCATATTCATGATATGGTTAGGTGTATGTCTAAATCAATATTGAAAAAAATCGCTAGACGATAATTAAAAGCTTTATGGAAGATTAATATCTAGGAACATTGGTTTAAATTAAGATGTTTATTTCATGTTCTTCAGGAAATGTGAAGAAGGGTGTCTTCAAGAATCCCTAGTGAAAGGAAAAATAGTGGTTTGCAATTTCACGGATTCACTTGAAGCTCTTGCAAATGGAGCCGTTGCAGGCATAACTCTCAACCGTACACCAAACGTTGCCTTCGTTACTTCTTTTCCCCTCTCTGCTTTGTCACAAGAAGACTTAAATTCTCTTGTTTCTTACATTAAGTCCGAAAGGTAATATTAATTCTTTTCTCGCATATATATATATTAAGCACAAACAAACATTATAGGTCTTACCTATGTTTCCTTAGTTCTCCAGTGGCTACTGTTCTAAGAACTGAGGAAAGTTTTAGTGAGAAAGCTCCAGTAGTTGCTGCCTTCTCTTCTCGTGGCCCAAACACCATCGCAACTGATATTCTCAAGGTTTGTGGATACACAATCTTGGCTCTGCTTATTACTTTCTTTTATTTTTCTTGTCTGAAAAGAGACAATGGTGGATGACTTGCAGCCGGATATATCAGCACCAGGAGTTGAGATCCTCGCTGCATTTTCACCTGAGATTTCTCCATCCTCAAGTGTATATGACACAAGACGTGTGAAGTACTCTGTTCTCTCCGGAACTTCAATGTCTTGTCCACATCTTACAGGCGTGGCCACGTACATCAGGTCGTTTCATCCTCAATGGTCTCCTTCCATGATCAAATCTGCCATTATGACAACCGGTAAGCTAAAATTATAACATAGATAAACCATATGTACATTTCTTGTGCCCCAAGAAACCTATAGATTTTTTTTGTTTGACACTCTTTGGTCTCCTCATTAAATCTCTCAGCTTGGCCAATGAATGCTTCTGAAACTGGCTTTGCATCAACCGAGTTTGCGTATGGATCTGGCCATGTGGACCCAATATCTGCTACCAATCCTGGACTTGTATATGATCTGACTAAAGCAGACTACATTGACTTCCTTTGCGGCATGAAGTACAATGCAACTACAGTGAAACTCATATCAGGTGAAGCCGTCACTTGCACTGGAGAAACCTTACAAAGAAACCTTAACTATCCTTCAATGTCGGTAAAGTTGTCGGGATCTAAAAGTGTCTTCACCGTGATTTTTAAAAGAACCGTCACTAACGTGGGTACCCCAAACTCTATATACATATCAAAAGTTGTTTTAAATCACGGATCTAAGCTCAACGTCAAGGTCTTGCCTAGCGCCTTGGCTTTTAAGAAGGTGAATGAAAAGCAGTCTTTCACGGTAATTGTTACAGGCAGTGCTCTCGACTCAAAACTGTTTTTGTCTGCAAATCTAATATGGTCTGATGGGACTCATAATGTGAGAAGCCCTATTGTTGTTTATAAAAGTAAGTGAGGATATAAATCATGTATGAACATCAACATAGTTTAATTTCAAAACAAATTTAGTTTAGCAAGTATGTTTTGTAATTTCTTCAAACATACTTTGTTTGCACAGTTTATATGTATATTTCCAGTCTATTCATTAGGATACCACCATTCTTCTTTTACCAAAACAATATGCTATCAATCATATGTTCTTCGACCTATTGACTAAGTGTAGTATACATTATGAAGTTATCCCTAACGCTTAATGTGTAATCCCAATCAAGCATATTGTCATTTTTAACGTTTTGGACTACCACTAAAAATAAATCACATGATATAAAGACTATGTCAAACTCTCATTGAAATCTTATAAATACAAATTTTGAGTAAACGTGTAAATTACATCAAAAAGTCAAAAACAAAAGACACATCATTTTACATGTACATATACCTCGACAAAGCATACATATACATATACACATAACACATGTGCATGGAACACATACGCATGGTACATATACATAGACACATACATAATTATACTACATACTGTATCTGTATATTATTGACTTCCGTCCGGAAGTAAGATAGGGACCAGTGAGAAGAATCTCTTACATGAGAACCTATCTCTTATCCAAAATGGACAACCGTTCTCAGCCTTTAGATGCTTTTTTAGCTATTCACACTCCTAATATATAAATTTACAAATGACAATACGTGGTTTAGATATATACACGAATCTTTGAGTAAATATGTATGCATTTCCATAAATATTGGCATTTTATGGTCCTTTTAAAAATATACACAAAAGGACCATTACTGTAACAATTTTTCAAGGCAGCTAGAATTTTTGGTCTCCAATTTGAGATTCTTAAAGTATACTATGAGATATCTCTTTGAGTATTATTCCCCCGAATGTATCTTCCCAACTACGCGTCAACGACGTGTATATATATCACGTGATACTTTGCGAGTAAGACTTCCTTCCATAAAATTTTCGAAAATAATCAGATGCTTGTTCATTCTTTTTGTTATGCTCTCAAAATTTGGATCTAAACCTTAATTTACATAGCTTGAAATCAGTTTCAGTTTTTTTTTTTTTTTTGCAAATATCTCTCTTCCTAAAAGAGTTGAATCGGAACACAAGTACGCTAATTATTTGTACTAAACCACCACATTTTTGGTAAACAAATTATCTTTTTAATCATATATGAACAAATTATCTTTAAACAGTTTTGATAAGTTTTAGATTATCTGAATTTTTAAATGTTTTGTTCTGTCGTGGGCATTTTAGGTTGACCTACCAAGAACGAGCACTAACGTTTATATCATGAAACAAAAACAAATTTACACTAACTTTTGTTGTTAAAAAGCTTTGCCTATCGTGATTTTTGAATAAATTATTAATTCTCTAATGTTTTTCTTGATATCGACGAGATGATTAATTTCCCAAAACTATGTTTTTCATAACTCTGCTATTTTTTTTATATTTCCCAATGATTGATTGTGAGCATTCAAGATAAAGAAGAAGAAAACGAATAGACTTCATCAAGTGGAGAATTTCTGTGGACCTAATCTTCTTGTCTTTGATCATATGTTCGTTCTTTTTTTTGTCAACATATGTTCTTTTATTAATACTAAAATAATTTTATACTAGATATAAAGTTAAAACCAATATAAATAGTATTGTTTTGGGCATAATGCTTTTCATATTATTTTTAAAAGATTAAAGGACAACTATTTCATATCTAAAACCGGATCATGCGGTGCGATTTAAAGAAGCTCAACTTCTTCTTCTGTTCTCTTTTCCACTTTGGCCCTATGTGATAAAGAAAGGTCGGTAACTTACCCTCGGAAAGACACGTGGCAACAGATCATTGGTCCGACATGAGATCCAACGCCGGACTTATCTCTTATCCTCTTTTAAGATATATCTCTTTAAGTTATTACAAGAGAAACACTGAACACTGAAAGTCTGAGAAGAATCTCACTGTTTGTGTCTCTATCCCGAAGAAATAAAGAATCAATAGGTTTTCTTCAACAGCAAAATATATAGGAAATTTTGAAATAAATCGTGACAATTTAAAATAAAAGTTAAGCACTAACCATAAAGAATGGCAAAGAAGAGAGATAGCGAAGCTTCTAAATTTCTCAAACAAGGAAAATAAAATTGGAAATAATTTATATAGAAATATGGAAAAAGAAGCAATAGTCTTTTCAGCATCAAGAAGAGAGAACATACACATAATAAACTTCGTTGAAAAGAATAATAAGCTTCTTTTCCTTGATGGATGATGATGATTATGATCATGATCACAATGGATCCACTATCTCCATAAACTAATCCCTTGTAGAATTATGTATATATAGCCCCATTGCGATCTTCTTGTATTCATACAAACCTTAACTGTCCTCTTCTTCATTTCTAGTTCTCGTAACATAAAAAGAATCACCAAGAGAATCTGCTTCACAAGTTATTAAAGTATACGCTTTGACAATTATTAATGGAAGGTAAAGGACGAGTGGGATCATCAACTTCTTCTTTAACCGCCGAAATCTTTGGCTTCAAAGATCCTTCACCGCCATCTTCTTCCTCTGGAATCTTCTCTTCCATTTTCCCTCATCCCTCCAAGGTTATATTACCTTCCTTTTCTTCTAATTTTGTTTCTTGAATGATCAGGAACGATTCTTGAGTCTTAAACTTCGGTTTCTTGATTTGATTTCTCAGGGCGTTGCTAGAGATGGTCCAAGCTCCAAGCATGGCTCACAAGGTCAGTGAGAAAAATAAACTTCCTTCGTCTCTGTTCACTTAGTCTTAAAGTATATTCTTTGTTTTCTAATGAATATTTTCTTGCACAGCTCAACGTAGAGACTCTTCCACTGGGCAAGAAGACAGAGTTGAGCCATGTCATCTAAGCTCTTCTCTTTACTACGGTGGTCAAGATGTATACTCTCGATCCACCACTAACCAAACTTACCCTACAGTGAGTCTTCTTTGATTTATGTATATATTGCTATAATCACTTTCGAAAAAATATAAATAAAAAATTGACTGATTAGAGTAAACCATTTTTTAAGGTAAAAAACGAGCGTCCTAGAACTCGAGAAGACGACGCTAGTGGACATAACTCCCAAGATGTTTCAAGAGGAAACTGGTGGCAAGGTTCTCTTTACTACTGAAGAACCAGTTCCTTAAGTTTCTTTGTAAATCTCTCCACAAATCCATGAAGTTCAAGCGAAGTACTTTTTATTTACCGAACCAAGGCTTTGTATAAATAAGTTTATGCAGAAAACTGATATTTTATTAGGAAGATCAAAAATTAATATTGAAAAGATCTCCCAGTAAAAATGTCTTGGATAGATTTGTCGTACATGTTCTAATCAACTGTATCAATATGTACTCTGCTTTTCTAATGAAATCCTATATCAAAAATTTAAATAGACTGACACTAATATATAAAGAATATTCAATTACTTTCAAATCAATTCAATTACCGCCAATTAATTTTAAGTTGTATTTTTAGGAAATTTAGCATAGTATCAAAAATGTTTATTACCGATTTTAAAATGGGATTCAGTTCGAAAATGACCAATAAAAGCCAAGTGTGTTAAGATCATACATCGAAAATCTAAAATGGCTAACACTAATATATAATGAACTTGGTCAATCCACTTACCACGATTTGGTTTTAAGTCGGAAGCCAGGAAAGAAACATTAACATTTTCTGTCTCTCGTTGAACAAAAGAATGAAATCTTCAGCATTTTTGCCAAACGCAAACAACTGACCAACTCTATCAGCATAACTATAGGTGAAATGTTTTAAGCTTGTATTATACAATATTTCTTATCCGAAATGCAAAGAAACAACCTCTCATACGCATCAGCCATTTTAGACGCAGTGAAAAGCCTCAGCGAACGTTTACGTGCCTCCTTGCCTTTCCTCTCCAGCTCCTCTGTTCCATCGCTAACAACACGTGAAATCGCCTCCACGAGAGAGTCAACGTTGGGAGAGAAAGTATATCCCAAATGTGGACCAACGACCACAGACCCAGTGATACTCGCTAGCCTCGTGGCCAACACTGGTTTGCCTGAAACCATAGCTTCCAAAAGAGTGTGATCAAGTCCTTGAGCTCTAAGCGTCGGGTTCACAAACACATCGATGGCATTGTAGAATTCCGCTAACTTTTCTTGATCCAACGGTCCAAGAACGATCACGTTACTAGACCCGAGGTCTCTATACCTATTTCCCCATGGTCCATCTCCCGCCACTAAAACGACGACGTTTTCTCGCGCTTTCTTGTTTTCTTCAAACACACGTTTCAAAGCTGAGAACATTAAAGGATGACCTTTGTCTCTAACCAACCTCCCTGCGATTCCAAGAACCAGAGGAGGCTCCCCGTTCTTTCCGCCGCTTCTAACGCCGACTCTCTCTCTGAACCTCTCGCGTTTCGAAACGTCAGGTTTGAAAACGCTCTCGTCTACACCGTTTAGTATGATGTGGACGCGTTCCTCGGGGATCATGTAGATCCTCTTGAGCACGTCACCGCAATGATCGCTGGTTGCCACGTGGTGAGCGTAACGTTGGAAGAACTTGACTTCATCGACAACACGCTTCGCTCGCTCCGTCAGAGCTGGAGAGGAAGGTGGTGGTTGTTCTTCTTGCGTTCCGGAAGCGACAGCGGCGGCGATGTCTGCTTGACGGAGGAGTTCTTGGATTATGTCGGAATGAAAAGTCTCGTAAGCGATTCCATGCCACGACGCGACCACGTTTCGGAGGTTCTTGGCTCTTGTGTGGAGGAGACCGACGCTCTCTGTGTGAACCACATCAAATGGTCTCACACTCGCGTTCTGCGTCTGCGATTTTCAGGAAAAAAAATCGTCAGTTATCAGTTGAAAGTATTTTTGAATAGTAGTGTATAAATCAATGGTATTTTGAGCAATTTCTCAAAACAAAGTTGTTTCTAATTAAATAAAACAATAGATAAAATAGTTTTTTTACTGTTAAAAAAAATAAAATGCTCACTTTAAAATGTAAATAATACGGAAAATTTACAGAAAATTAGTTAAGTACAAAAATAAGGTATTAGAATATGTTTCTCTAAAAGGTGTTTGAGTTTTAAATTTTGATATAATTACATATTGCATGAAAACCCAAAATGGAGGAAACGCAAAGTAATGGCGTCCAAAGCAGCAACGCGGTACAAAACGATGAAGCAATTTTAAACTTCTATGTTTTACCTGAAGCTCTTGCGAGATGGAAGCTTGATCGAGATATCCACCAGAGGTTGGCTTAGAGAGATGAAACCGGAGATTCTTCAGCCCATACTCAGGGAACGACGAAGACTCGGCGGTGAAAACATGAACCTCGTGGCCACGATTAGCTAGAGCTAAGTGCAGCGTAAGCGCGTGCCTCTCGAGCCCACCAGCTTGAGATTTCTGCGGCCATTTCTTAACGACCACAGCGATCTTGAGAATCTTGTTCGGTTTAGACGAGGAGAAAGTGAGATGGTTCCAAGCGGAAGAAAAGGTAAGAAGATCGATGGTTTCTTGATCGAATGAGTGATCAGCGTTGGGGTTGTGATCGTAAGGAAAAGAACAGAGAGTTGTGTTGTGTCTGAAGAGGAAAGAGACGAAAGAGAGGACAGAGATGAGGAGAGTGAAGTGACATATGTATCTGAGACTGAAGGAGCAACTGATATGGGAGTTTTCTCTAGCCATGGAAAGTGATGGATTGAATCTGGAAACTCAAGTTGTATCTTTTTTTTCTTTTTTTTTTTGATGAATTGTATCGTTTAAGACAAAGAGGAAGTGATTATTGAGTATTGTCAGTGGATTTAATTGGGAACAACGTTTGACTTTAAGAGACTTCTTTAGATTCGATTAGATTAAATTAGAGTCGTGTTCTTTACGTGATATGCACATGCTCTCTCTAGAGTTCAATGAAGCATCGCAGTTACGTGAGGCACATGTGGCCCACGCGCCTCTGTAATGCAGCGGTGGACGAAGTCGAGAGAAGGTGGTGTCCAAGAAAAAAAGAAAACGCCGTTGCCGGGGATCGAACCCGGGTCACCCGCGTGACAGGCGGGAATACTTACCACTATACTACAACGACTTTGTTGATTTTGTTAATCCATGTTATTATATTAATGACAACCATGTTAATTTCACAGACCAAGTCTTGAGTATCTACGTTCAGTTGTACAATTTTACAAGTTAAGTCTTCCACGGATGTGCCTGAAAACAATTCTAATAAACAAAAGTATTTCTTAATCCATAAAAATATGTCAGCGTTAGAAGTTTGATTATCCCACACTCAAAAAGTCCAATAGATATAAGGTTAGTGGTTGTTGTTAGATAAAGGCTTTACCATAAAGGGATATTAGACCAACTTTCTTCTAATAAAAACAATTAATATCGAGTAAAACGTTGCAGATTCGGAAAATAAATCAATGTTTCTCATATATAATGGGAATTCTATAATTAATTATCAGCTGGTGGTAGTAGGAACTAAATTTTTGTGTAGTTACACCAAGAAAAAGTGTGCATACTTACGTTTGGTTAGATCATAAAAGGTGAACTAACCTTCCTTAACATTTCTTACTTCAAAACATCACATTAGAAAGATGAAACATATACATTCTTTTTGTTTCCCAATCAATCATTTCAAGCTGCATTTGTTGACTTAAACCACATCAAAATTCTTAAACTACTATATGATGTAAGCATGGTATCAAATCGTATATTGTTTTAAGCTTTATAATCATTAAAACACATGTATTTCTAATGGTTGATGATGTAATCTTAGTTTAATTGGTCTTGATCTTGTAATGGTTAGCAGCTCTTCATCCTTTAGAAGTTAGAAGAAGAATCATATTTTATGTCTTACTACCAGAATTTGAGGCATACACGCCACATAACTTGTGTTAGAAGTTAAATTATTAATATATGTGGAAGCAATGATCTTAATATATTACCAGTCTATCTGATCATGATAATAAGTTTTCTTTCCAATTCGTCTTCAGAATGTCAACAAGGATCACTTCTTCTCTTCAGAATCTATACTATATAAAAGTTGAGGCTATAAGCCATTGAGGACGTCCACATAGGATTTAAATCCTCCAATCATATAATGACACATCATTATATTAGTTTATTTTTTTTAAATGTCATTATTTCCAAAGTATATTAAAACAAAATTAATATTCCATATATAATTTAACAAACAAAATAAATATTAACATTTTACAAATTACATAAAAATGTTAACTGTTATAAAAAATGAAAAATTAAAAATAAAAACGTAATATTAACAAAACATTATTGTCTTTTTAGATATATTAAATGTAAAG